AGTCCAAATGGTTCGATTGCCTGGATCAATGGCGGTTCAAAAACGATGGAAAGAGAGAGAAAGAGATGGAAACTAAAAACTAGGAGTGCTTTTATGAAAGGTTCATGGGCAAGTACAGTAAGAGTACATTGGAGAGGATCCATTATAGAATGTTTCCACTTAGATCCAAGCTAATGTGTTAGATCTAAAATATTAATTTAGTCTCAAAGAATAGTTTTATGTGAAGAGAAAAGGGTTGAAGTTGTACAAAACTGTTGAGTAGCTTAAAGAATAGTTTTTATATATGTGAAGATTAATGTAGACGTAGGAAGCCTCTCTCTTTCTTTACCAAGAGACATGGTATCTCTATCTTTATCCTTGGAGTGATGCAGTGTGTGTATGTTCATCGACCACTACATTACTGGGTTTTGGTTAGAATTTGTCTGAGAAGAATGGGGTTCCAAATCGGACTTAAGCTTGGTTTCTTCGCCAATCTAATGTCTAATAAAGAAGTAAAGAAGCAATGAAACTATGGATGCTGCCCATTTCATTTGGGTCCATTGATTACACTCGCCACCATACATGCAACCACCTTGAAATCCGTGTCAAGGGAGAACAACACAAGGACTGCTCAGTTGGTTAAGACGACGGACAAGGGACCCCTCAAATGATCAAATCTGAATCTGAAATCACGATAATAGAGCTGCTGGAAAAGAAAGCCTCATCAAACAATTACGCTTCTTCAAAACTACTTGTGGGGTTAGCCCCCACCCATTAACAATCCACAACAACTCAAATCCAATCAAGTTTCCTAACCCAAATAAACCTAATTAGATGCGGTTTGGCAACTAAATGGTGACTTTTTTTTGGGGTCTTGTCCTTAAAGACAAAACCATTTTCGCAAGTGATTCAATATATCGGACTTTGGCATTTTTCAGGTCTTTCATGCATTTTTTTATCTTATCAGCTTTGGATTATCAAACATAAAAAACAAAACCAATTTTTATCGAAATCCAAAAAACCGCACAAAAAGATTTACCAAACTCCACTTAATTATCAAACTACAAAACCAGGAGAGTATACAGATTATCACAAATCCAGTAATAAGAATCCTATCAGTCCAGCCCAAGCACCACACCAAGGCATCACATAACTGGGAGACAGACTGCATCCCAGGCACAACATTTATAAGGAAATTAACCAAATATGAACCACATACAATGTTGTTTTGTCTAAAATTTAACTTGCTGCATTGGCTGTAAGTACTGAAACAACCCAGTAAAAGGTGGATTGGCAGTTACTTTATAAAATCATGGTTCGATTCATGAATGGCAGAGACCCAGTAATTGAGGAGATGCATGGTCACTCGGTCATTTTTGTTTTTAATTTCATGGTAAGTGTCACTGACTAAGTCATTCCGCTTCATTCTTATTAGAGCAGAGAGGTGGGATCAACCCGATAGAACTGCAGGCTCTGTGAGGTCTGAGGTAGCTCAGTGGACTTCATGTGCAACCTGCCCTGTCCCCACCCTTCTGTCCCTACTAATCTCTGTTGACTGACTAACCGGGCCCCCTGTGTCCCTGCTAACTCCACTAACAAAACTTGATCAAAGAAAATAATGTAAAAGAATAAATTATATTTATCTTGATTTTGAAAATGTTTCATTATAAAAATTTGACCTCCTTATATTGTGTGTATGATAGACCATGTATTTTTTTTTTCCTTTCGGGTAAAAATAATGTTTTAAAAGCCAACCCAGAACCGGAATCACCTTGGCCTCCGGTTTCTAGGTTAGCAGTTCAACTGTTCAGTTTGAAAGATGACCCGTTTCAAAATAATAAAAAAAAAGTCAAAAATCATTGTCAGGTTGAATGGGTTGACGGTTCAACTGCTTGGGTCAATGGGTCATTGACCAAGTCAACAATTTTGGCCAAAGAACAGATTAGGGGTGAAATGAACTGATTCGCAGGCTAGACGGACCGACTGTTTGGATCAATGATGGTTCGAAAACACTAGGCAAAAATGATTGACAATTTCTAACAATTATGGGACTCACTTGAAATGAGAAATGCAAAAAAAAAAAAAAATCATGAATGAGATACAATTCGAAGAATATCAATTTTACGCATTTTATGAGTTTTATAATCACAAAATTTACGTATAATCATGATTTCAGTTTCTCCAAGACTTGATGAAGTTACTTAATATCAATTCTCAAAGAGAATGAAATTTGAAATTATTGTACTCTACGTAAAGTTTCAACCAAATTAGTAAAATTGTGATGGTGCAATTAGTTATTCTTGGGCATTCAAAATGAAGTCTTTTCATATCTGAACACTGAGTTCAATTGGCTTTGTTGATTTTTTTTTTTTTTTGAGAAATTGGCTTTGTTAAATCTCAGTGGATATGATGAACTCCTTTTTATGTTATTTATTGATGCTTAGGTTATCTTTGTGATATCCATGTTTTTATATATCCAGCTGAAAAGAATATAATTGATTTCTAATCTAATTTTGCGCTTAATTTCCAACAACTGCAAGCATTTAGAAATTTTTTTATGCAGACCGAGGTTAGTTCACTGATCAATTAATGAGAACAATGAATTATTTGCTGTACAGTTTCACTCATCTTCCACCACAGACCATTTTAAAATTTACCCTTGAGTTTTTCTCTAACTTTACTCAAAGCGGGTCAACAAGCCAATCACAACTGAAATTCAAAACACAACACAACATGTTCTGTGCAAAAGATGAAATTACAAGAATTCCCACAAGGACAGAATGATAATTAGTTGTTAGACAAAACGTTTGGGAACCGTTGTTGGCCCGGATGGATAGACCATTTGATTCAAAAACCATCTAAACAAATGGTATTGTTTCTCCCTTAATCCATTCGTTGGCCAAAAACTGTCGATTTGATCAGTGATCCATTGATCCAAGCAGTTAAACTATTGACCCATTCAATCATTTTTATTTTTAATTTAAACAGGCTGTCTATTCAAACCAAACAGTTAAATCACTGACCAGAAACTGGTGGCCAAAGTGATTTCAGTACTAGGTTAGTTTTTAAAACATTGGTTAGAGAATTCAATATCTCTTCTTATAAAATATGGTCTAGTGTCTGAAAAGCCAAAAAAAAAAAAACTTGGAAAAAAAAAGTACTTTGATTTTTTTTTTTTTTGCTTAATCTAATATATGAATGCAAAGAATGTTAAATTGAAACCTGAATGTTAATGCTGAATATCCTTAACTTAAAAATTTTGTCCCCACAGTTGATCATGAGAATGGATATTTATGTTAATTATAATTAATATTAATAAATTGATATCAATCATTATTTTAATAACTAGCAATAATAATTATTTTAATATTATTATTTATAAAGTTCTAATATATTAATAATACATTACTAATAATAAATAACTAATAAAATGCACAAAAGACACTTATAGAAACAAATAATAACAATGTTGTCAAGACTGATATCTTAAGTTTGAAAAATTAAAAGAAACAGCTAAAATGTCTAAAAAGTAAAAACTATTGCTTCAAGACATCAGAGGTTGAAAGCAGACGAAAGAACAAAACTTGAGTTCATCTCAACATAAAATAGGTGGAAAAAAAAAAAGTACGAGACAAAAATGCTAATTTGAGCTATATTTCTGTGCCCCTTCTACAACGAAAAGTCGAAAACCTCATTTTCAACAAAACAAAACAGAAATTTTCACTATAAAAAGGGCGAAAATAATAGGTAAACACGAATAAACAAGAGCAAATCAGGCTGAAGTAAATATAGTGCTATAAACCAATTGACGAAAGGAATCACCATTGATGGGGCCAATTCCTTGGAAGTCAATTTATGGTGTCCGAAAAACGACGGTGGATTAAATACGGAAGACGACGTTGTAGGGCAGCCCTTGAGAGTTGAGACAGAAACCAAGACGTGCAGTGCAGAGGCCCATGTGTCACCTCCCCCACCTCTGTGCGCGTCTGTGAAAACTATACTTGGGGTGTGCCTCCGCCACAAACTCGAAAGGCCGAAACCCCTTTTGGGTTGGGCCTTCGTACGCGTACTCTCTGCACTTGCTCGTGCACCAACCTCTTGTTTGCTTGCTTCACAAGAGAATGAACTTCACCCCATAATTCTAAATTTTCGGGTTTGATTTTCTCTGTTTACTGTTTAATAATTAATCGTCCTTCTAATAAAATAACCGATGTACTGAATGTACACCCCATCGTCACCGTTTATTTTCTCAAGTTTTTTCATATTTTGGTCCTTGTAAGGATATAAACAAATGGGGCTTGGTTGGATTAGTCTCACCAAGTGAGACAAACGATGACATGCTTCAGTAAATTAATCAAATTCCATTACAATGACAGTCAGGGTCCTCATAATGGATGGGTTGTGAGTTGGCTTAGCTGGCAAATAGGAGCACAATGTGTATACAGATTTTAGACCATAGGATTGATGGGTCAAAGTCAAACCCCACGAATTAGACAAATCTGGGCCATCCATCTGATTGATTGGGAGCTCCCATTGGTAAGCCATCAAAAGGCGGTGCCGGTGTGGAAATGGGCCAGATACCACAGGGGACAAGATGAAGATGGGTACAGTCTGAACTTGATTAAATATAATAGTTGTTGATTATATTAATCAAGACTCGCAAGTTGAAGAACTTGCTAGTTGCTATCAGGACACCTAAACCAGATCTAAACATCTTTATTTTATTGGCTTCTTTTTGTACACTGTCTGTTGATATGTGGCATAAAACAAAAATGGAGTTCATAATTAAGGATGTGGAGTCTGTATCAAGTTAAAGGATGGATTAATGTGAGAAGTAAGTAATAATTTTGGTGAATGAGAAGCTTTGAGTTTGACATTTATATAATATATACAGTACTACTCAAATCAAATGCAGAAAGAGAGAGAAACCCACAACCACGAGGGAGAGAAACAAGCCAAAACCCTGAAGAAAGCTCCAAATTAAAGGAACCCACCACTTGGTCACCATCACTGAGGTCACAGATCAACAACCACCTTCCTTTTGTTAAGGATTAGCTTTGAAAACAAGGTTCACTTGAGTTGTAGGGAAGAAGAAACACAGAAAGGAAATGGAAATAAAACCAGCCTTAACTACTTTATGTCAAAATACGTACGAGTATGTACACATAACAAGTTAAAAAGCCTTTGATGTGTAAATAACAAGATGTTGGGAGAGAAAGAGAGACATATAATACATACATTGATTGATAGAGATACACCAAGGGGATTTTGTACCAGTCAAGGTGGCAAAACCATGGGAAAAAATTGAGAGGACTGGCAAAAATTATCACCTTCTTCTCAAAGAATCTTTTTCTTTTCCTCCAAAAACTTTTGATCTTCCTTTACGGCTTGCTTAGCTCAGAACCTTCCTTTATGGTCATGTTGGCTCCAACTGCACCAAAGCTCGCATCCTCGGAGGCAATTGTTGCAGAGGAGTCGATGCCTGAACCTGCCTGGATTTCTTTGAACAATGCCATTACTTGTATCATTGTGGGTCGCCGCCATGCCCGATCATCCAAGCATGCACATGCAATTTTTAAGTGTTGCAGCAGCTCCATCTCCAAGCTGGGGTCCTCTTTAATGAGCTCAGGGTCGAAAACATCACTTATTTTTAGCTTGGCATGCTGCTTGACCCACCCCACTAGGTTGTTGTCACCAAAATCAGGGCAGTCTGTTGGCTGCTTACCTGTTAACAACTCCAGCAAGACAACTCCATAGCTATAAACATCACCTTTGGTAGAGCACCTAAAGCTTTGGTAGTATTCAGGTGGAACGTAGCCTGGGGTGCCTGCAAGTGTGCTGACACTCAGATGAGTGTCCATTGCACTCACCAGCCTTGCCATTCCAAAATCTGACACCCTAGCTTCCAAATTCTCATCAAGCAGGACATTGCTTGATTTCATATCCCTGTGAATTATATGAGGAATGCAATTGTGGTGAAGGAAAGCTAATCCCCTTGCAGCTCCAATGGCAATTTTCCTCCTTGCCGTCCAGTTCAGCTTGATTCCAGCCTTCTTACGATCATGTAGGACATCTTCTAGGCTGCCAAACTTCATGTATTCATAAACCAATAGCCGTTCTTCCCCGACCTTGCAGTAACCCAGGAGGGGGACAAGGTTCCGGTGCTTGATCTTGCCAATAGTCTCCATTTCAGCCATGAATTCTCGGTCCCCTTGTCCGCTAACATGGATTAGTTTCTTGATGGCCACAACTGTTCCATCCTTGAGTTGGGCTTTGTACACATCTCCAAAACCACCTGAGCCAATGAGGCTGTCATTGTGAAATCCATTTGTGGCTTCAAGAAGATCGGCAAATGTAAGCTTCCGAAGGGGCTTCTCAAAGGTAGCAAGATTTATGCTTAATGCTTCCCGAGCACCCGTTAACCTCCAGCTGGTATTTGCAGTTCCTGAGTGAGATCGGCTGTCGATGTAGCCGTCCAGTGTCATTTCCCTGTTCTTCCTCCTCTTCTTGATCTCAATGGCAACAATAATCAAAGCAAAGGTGCAGAAGAGGGAGAACAATAAGCCCATTGCCACACTCCCGGCAAGTGAGGCTTGCCTGCGGTGAGACTTTGGATGCTGAGATGATGCATTTGGGTCACTCTCTCCACAGCGCACATCAAGAGGATAGCCACACAGACTATTGTTCTGATATCTCCAAGGTGGAAAAGTCGCGAGCTGACCTGATTCAGGAATGGGTCCAGAGAGGTTGTTGTTGGACAAATCAATCTCAGAAAGCAGAGTAAGGCCAGATAAGGATGGAGGGATTGACCCATTGAGACTATTGTGAGAAAGATCAAGAATCCCAACATTCTTTAAGTTTCCCAGCTCTGTAGGGATGGGGCCAGAGAGATTGTTGTGACCCAGATTCAATACATAGAGATAATATATGTCCCCAATCTCCTTTGGAATACTACCCTCCAACATATTGTAGGATAGATCAAGAAATATTATGGAGCCATTGTTGTTGAACGTGTACTGGGTACTGCCGAAGTAGATTCTGGTAAAGTTGCACGACTGCCTGGTGGGGATTCTATTCAACCCATCCTGGCGGATCCCAGCATATTCGAGGAGGTTTCCAGCGCCACGGCACTGACTGCTTCCATCATTCTTCAGATACACATACCTCTTTCCCGTAATCAACCCTACAGCAATGTTGCCAGTTTGCTTAGCCAAGGTAGAGGGAATGGTTCCAGTCAACTTGTTGTCATTGAGATCCAACCATATCAAGCTCTTACAGTCCCCAAGTTCTGGAGGGATGCTACCAGAGAACGAGTTGTTTCCGAGTTTCAGGATTGCTAAATTACTCAACTGGCCAATCCACGCCGGGATTTCACCACTCAATTGATTGCTCGACAACGAGATCCAATTCAGAGAAGTACAGTTGCTTAAACCGGAAGGAATAGTACCAGTTAATCCATTATTGTCCAGGATCAGGTTTTCAAGCGTTTGGATGTACATAAGCTCCTGTGGTATCTCACCCTCGAGCTGATTCATCCACATTATCAGGTCACGGAGCTGAGACAGGGAACCCAAACTTGTAGGGATGACCCCGGTGAGGTAATTGAAGCTAAGATCGAGAGAAACCAGCTGAGAACAGTTACTGAGAGTTGCAGGAATAGTGCCTGTTAAGAGATTGTTCTGAAGATACAGCTCCTTTATGCTCTTATTGGGACCCTGGCACAGTCCCGGAGGAATTGGCTCAGAAAGATTATTAGAGCTTAGGTCGAACAAGTCCAAATTCGTAAGCGTTGACAACGAATCCGGCAAAGCACCAACAAAATTATTGTAAGATAGAATAAGCTTCTTCAAACTAGTCATCTTGAACAGGGTCTCGATTGGGAATTCACCAGATAAGTTGTTGTTGGAGAGATTAATGGTTTCCAATAAAGAACAAGAAGCCAAAGTGTTAGGAACCATACCAATCAAGTGGTTCGAGGAAAGATCAAGTTCGATAAGAGTTGGACAAAGGTCGGCCAGATGCAGAGGTATCCCTCCCTCGAGGTCGTTAGTGGAGAGGTAAAGATATTGCAAACTTCCGTCGGGGAAAGATGGGATTTTTCCCGAAAACTGGTTGCTGGATAGATTCAAGAAGTTCAGTTGCTGACACCCGGACAGCCCAACACCGATGTCGCCGGAAAATTTATTATCGGAGAGATCCAGATGCTGCAAAGCTACACAGGTGCCGAAAGAGGGTACAGACCCCGAGAAATTGTTGGTGGAGAGGTCGAGATACTGCAAACTCCGGCACTCGGATACCGGAATATTCCCGGCGATTTTGTTTGCCTCCAAAGACAAGTACTTGAGCTCGGCACAACCACCGGACAATAGCCATGAGACAACGTTTTGACCAGAAATACGATTAAAGGAGAGATCAAGGGACTGGAAACTGATCCGTGGACCACCGGAATCCTTCCCTCCATTCAAAGGACCCAACGAATTCCTCGAGAGGTTCAGAGATTTCAAGCTCGAGCACGAAGACAAACGCGAAATGTCCGAAACGGAACCAGACAAACCGTTCTCTGCCAGATCCAGCTCGCTCAACATCTCACTACACCGAGAACCCGAAGCCGACGAGAGGTTCCCGGTAAGATTCGTACGCTTCAGCACCAACGACTCCAAACGCTCCAAGCTCAAGAGAGTCGAAGCAACAGACTTAAAATCGGAGGCTAACGGGATAGAACTAAGATCGAGAGCTGAAACTCTGGAGTCCTTACATGTAACTCCGCTGAAACCGCAAGGATTCTGATTCCACTGCCAATTTTGGAGTAAGTTTGGATTTAAAAGCGTACCTTTGAACGAAAGCAACAATTGGGTATCTTTCAGACCACTATTAATGGCCGCCGGCGAGCCTCTCCCGGCGAGAAAAGCGACAGAGATGACTGCAACCAAGTACAAAAGCTTCTGCAACTCCATTGACTGAAACTGGAATATACACAGACTTCTCATCATAGTAGTTTCTCAGCTTTTCTAGGGTTTCAGTTCCGCCATTAGCGACCTTAGAGAGAAAGAGCTAGAGAGAGAGAAAGAGAGCGCAGAAGGCGCTCGAGAGAGTCAAAAGACGAGAGTAAGGAAGGAGAGGGGTTATTTATCGGGGATGGAGAGGGTGAGGGAGGAGAACACTGAGCACAGCTGTTGCTCACATGCCATGTGACCTCTCCTTCCCTCTCTCTCTCTCTCTCTCTCTCTCTCTAGATTTTGGCGTGCGTGATTAAGGATGGGTCGATCTCGATGAGAATATTTAATTAGTTAACTAAGATCTGATTAAAAATGGAGCTAATTTTAGTGGTAGTCGTTGTACTATAGTTGACTGTACGTGTGGCCCATTGACCATTGATCTGGGCCGTTAAATGACATTTTAACGATTAGTGATTGATGCCATGGTGGACCCTTTGTCTGTCCGTGACTGATGTACCTTTCATCCTCTATTAAATACGAAAGGTGAATGTTGCTATTTAAAATTACAGATATGCCCATGTTCCTCCCTTAATACGTTCCGAAATTTAATAGGGTAGCATGGTCATTAAGGACAGCAAGGGAGATTCTCCTTTTCATTTGTTGCGTCAGTTTTTTTACGATGGGCATTTGTTGCGTCAGTTTGCTGAACAGTATTTTCCTATTTCGTGTTATGGTGTCGTGGTCTTGTGGAGAGGGATCCGGTAATTTTAGGGAGGATGTTTTCGTCATTTGATGCGCGATTTGTCGTTATGCAGTTCGGTCCGATCGATAAGCAAGGAAGACGACTGACGATTGCCAGATGTTATTTGGTTAAAAGACTAAAATACCCCTACTTTTCAAATAAAAAAAAAAGAAATAATAAATAAATGTTTGGAGGTCCAACAGATGAACAGAGTATAAAATTGACAAAGCAAAAGGCCCTTTATCTGAATTTGAGTTTGATCCGGTTAAGGGTGATCATAAATGGATCGAATATGGATCCACCCCATCCAATTTGATTCCATTTAGATGCATATGCTTATACTTAAATTTTTATATTTTATTTATTAGTAAAGTTGTTTGAATGTTGTGTTTTTATCAATATTATTTTATTAATGATTAATATTATTAATCATTTTTAGTTCGTTTTATTAATAATATATAATAATTTGATCACTTTTCGTTATATTTTATTAGTGATATTTAATATCTGGTTGTAATCCAAATAAATCGTACTTAGAGGTATCTTATATCTTGTTGAAGACTGAAAGACCCAGAGTTAATCATCGAGGAGAAATCTTCTACACTCAAGTCAGATATAAAGGAAGAGAATAGAGGGAAAGGCAAAGCTTCACCAAGAAAAGTTAGTGAAGTGAATTATTAGCTTTGGTCAAGCACCCTCATCAGTTGAACCTTTCCATTTGGGCTCCCCCTCCTCGGTTTTTTTCCTAATTTGCCATTTGGCCATTCCATGTGTCACCTTTTGACTGGTGGGTGAAATGACCGTTGCATCATATCTCATTCAATTCCACCCAATTACAGCCGTATCAAAAGGTTTTCTTTCTAATACCTCCAAATTAAGGTATGATACTTTATTTTCCTTGCATTTGATCCTCTTCTAAATGGGGTAAAATACAGTTGTCAATAGGTCAGGTTGGTTTGGGACATGGTGGACTATCCCTGAACCAATTATTTTAAGCAGTTCTACGAGTGGACACCAATTATTAACCGGATAAGACATGATAATACTTGAGTTATATGACATCCATGATAATAATAAGGGTCATTTATTAAAGCAGGTCCTATAGTTTATTTATTTATTTATTTAATGGACATTCTCTTAGATGAAAGTGAAAATGACATTTTTGACCTTAATGCCCATTTGAATAAGTTTAATCAAAAGAAAATAAAAGTGAAATTTGTATTTTCTTTTATCCCTAGAAGACATGAGCAACCGCATTGTTTCAAGGATCAAAAGTATTGGCATAAGTATTGTATTTGACAACTCAGATACATATGCATATATATATATATAGATAGATAGATAGATAGATAGATAGATAGATAGATAGATAGATATGGATACACTTTAAAAATGCATAGATACAAATAAATGATATAAAGATATTTGGATAAATTAGAAAATGCATAAAAATCACATAAATATATTAATAATATTAAATCTAAAACTGAATTAACTATGAATAAGGTATAATGCATGAGAAATGTACACTTTAATAGGTTATATGAAGAGAAACATTACACTCAACAATATTGGAACTCTGAAAGATGTACATATAAATACAATAATTATCACTCTATTTCAAATTTTATAATTATAGTTTTTATTTTTTTTTTGAAAATTTATTTATTTAGAATGTTTATATAAATATCAATTCTATTTTTTCAAATAATAGATATATTTTTTATTTTAACATGCAATTTATATGTAAAACAAAATATATAAATCTTTTAAGGTAAATAAAATAAATTAATTCTATTTAATATTTAGCTTTTATTAATTTTTGGGGGAAAATTAAATCTTAAAGCAAGGTTTAAATATGTCATCAAATCAGGGTTTGGTATGCCTCCGTATTTGTGCTTATTAGACTGTATCCACCTATGCATTTATTTTTTCAAATAATAGATACCTTTCTATTTTTAACATATAATTTATATGTAAAACAAAACATATGAATCATTTAAGGTAAATAAAATAAATTAATTCTATTTAATTTTTAGCTTTTATTAATGGTTTGGGGAAAATTAAATCTTGAAGCAAGGTTTGAATATGTCATCAAATTAGGGTTTGATACACCTCCTTATCAGTGCTTATCAGACCGTATCGACCTATGCAGCGTGATACACACCAATACATTGGCATATCATGTCAATATGGATGATTAAACAAGATACACATAGACTTGTAGTGTACCTCGTGCTTGTAGGCATGGATATAGATATGATACACCCTCAATTAACCTTTTTGACTCTATTTAATCAATTTTGTTTTTTGGTACTAAGAAGTGTTATGGATGCTTTTGAAATAAACAACTATGGACTTGTCCTTTGAAAAATTTCTAAGTAATCATGCAACTATTTTTGGATGGCAAGACAAACAATTATTAATTAAAGGGTGATTAAGTAAATAGGTTGCAAATTACAAGGGTGTTTTAGTAAAACAAAAACCATAAAATAGGCTTAAATAAATCCATGAATTTATAGGGGTGTTCTAGTAAATGTCCCTAATAAAATTAGAAATATTTTAATTTTTTAAGCAAAATTACTAGGGGTACAGCTTGGGTAGGGCTAGCCTGAACCTGAATCAACCCAACCCGAAATTTTATATAGACTAGGTTTAGACTTTTGATCTTCAGGTTATGGCCCAAGAAATCGAGTTTTTTTTTTTTTTTTCCAGGTTGGATCTGGGCCTAACCCTTAGGTAACCCAAACCCAACTATACACATTTATACATATATTCATATTTACCTATATACATACATATAATACATATTTACATAAATGTATATATATATATAATTTTAAAACGGATTCATTAAACAATCCAAGCATGTTTTTAGGTCAAGCTCAACACAAATGCAACAAATTATAATATAAACTGGACTCGAATTGAAAAAAATTAAATTTAACATCGGACTCAGGCCTTAAGCCAAATTTTAAGATTGGATTTGGATTGACCATAAATCCGACCCAATCCCGCCTGACTTGCACCCCTATTACTTATATATTATATATGAAATTTATAAAATGCAATAAAAATTACAGGAAGAAAAAGGAGATTGTCTTATAATTATTAACCATATATATTCGGTTCGGGCCTTAACCGGTTGAAAGAGCAATAACCATTCCTGACCATCTGCAGTCTCCGCGCTCAGAGATTGTCTGAGAGTACCAAAGTTGGTGTTATTGCTGACGATCTTATTAGCGTGGGCCCACGCGGATATTATTATCCACTTCCCAAAAGCCTCGATCCCACCTCCCATCAGTTTCCAAGTAAACAAATGGCACTGAAAATTTGGGGGGAGGGGAGATATGATGCCGTAGGCAATAGACAATCGAAAAATCAAAAATCAAACAAAGAAAATTCCACAAACTGCAATCGGCACGTGCTTTAAATTTGTCCAATCCAATGACGTGGCGGGTCTTACACGTAGAGTAAGCTGATTGGCAAAATCATTCGCTTTGACCATTTAGGGCACCGACAGCCTTTCCAAGCTGTCACTGTTAGCGCTCGGCTCTACCACCAACTCACTCCCCACCAAAAACCAAAATTGTTATTAGCGGAAAAAGATTACACGAGGGAGTGGGGATCTTCTTTACGCTAACATGCACACGCACGCACGTTGTAATCAACGTCATAAAAGGGGAGGGGGAGGGGGGAAAAGAATGAAAGCAGGAAAAAGGAACATCACACGTGCACCCACACGCTCGCACAATTATTGGAAAGAGGGAAAGAGATATCAGAGAACAGGACCCGTGGGCCCCACCTCCTCATTTCTTAAAACGTGGGGCAGTTTCACGCAACAGCGGAATGAGACGTGTGTTTTGCATATTGCAATGCCGTTCTTCCTCTGGCCCTCTGGACTCGGGAGTCAGGACTCAGGATGTTTCCTTGCTTTTGGGTCCTTTTCTTGGTTTCTTATAAACTTGCCACGTGTCTTATAACTACAGAGTCGAAACTATTGGCTGGGGTCCATACAAGACAAGGTCATCTCAGATGCGTATTAACCGTCTGATTAATTTATTATCGGTGGCTCCCCATCCTCTAGCTGCCGGAGGGACAATTGACAAGATTTGAAAGACCATTTTTATTTGGGCTTGGCAGTAGCTTCAAATCGAGATAGGGCTGGAAATGGATCGAATTATATCCATCGTCGGATATAGGTAGATGTGAATTTTATTGATTTATATCTGAATTCAAATCCGATCTTATTCAATGGATTTATGTATTGATTGAAATTGAATTCAAATTACAACCAGTCAACCATAAATGTAAGGCTGTGTGATTAAATGATACGTTGCAGTTGATATTTTTAATATTGTTGAAGCCTTGTTGGTAGGGTGTCAATGGATCGGTTATTTTGTGTTGGATCCCGCTTAAATCTAAATTAATTTGGAAGGATTGGACGGAACAATAAGAAATATTTCATCGAACTAATTCAAATTTAATGGTTCAATGTATTTATTGAATCGGATTGAACCTGATCCATCCGTAATCAATT